AAAGTGAAGGTGAAGGTGAAGGTGAAGGTGAAAGTGAAAGTGAAGGTGAAGGTGAAGGCGAAGGTGAAGGTGAAGGCGAAGATGAATGTGAAGGTGAAGGTGAAGGTGGAGGTGAATGTGAAGGCGAAGATGAAGGTGAAAGTGAAGGTGAAGGTGAAGGTGAAGGTGAAGGTGAAGGTGAATGTGAAGGTGAAGGTGAAGGTGAAGGCGACGATGAAGGTGAAAGTGAAGGTGAAGGTGAAGGTGATGGTGAAACTGAAACTGAAACTGAAACTGAAACTGAAACTGAAACTGAAACTGAAACTGAAACTGAAAGTGAAAGTGAAAGTGAAAGTGAAAGTGAAAGTGAAAGTGAAGGCGAAGGCGAAAGTGAAGGTGAAGGTGAAGGTGAAAGTGAAAGTGAAGGTGAAGGTGAAGGCGAAGATGAATGTGAAGGCGAAGATGAAAGTGAAGGTGAAGGTGAAGGTGAAGGTGAAGGTGAAAGTGAAGGTGAAAGTGAAGGTGAAGGTGAAGGCGAAGATGAAGGTGAAAGTGAAGGTGAAGGTGAAGGTGATGGTGAAGGTGAAGGTGAAGGTGAAGGTGAAGGTGAAGGTGAAGGTGAAGGTGAAGGTGAAGGTGAAGGTGAAGGTGATGGTGAAGGTGAAGGTGAAGGTGAAGGTGAAGGTGAAGGTGAAGGTGAAGGTGAAGGTGAAGGTGAAGGTGAAGGTGAAGGTGAAGGTGAAGGTGAAGGTGAAGGTGATGGTGAAGGTGAAGGTGAAGGTGAAGGTGAAGGTGAAGGTGAAGGTGAAGGTGAAGGTGAAGGTGAAGGTGAAGGTGAAGGTGAAGGTGAAGGTGAAGGTGAAGGCGAAGGTGAAGGGAAGGTGAAGGCGAAAGCGAAGGTGGAGGCGAAGGCGAAGGCGAAGGCGAAGGCGAAGGCGAAGGCGAAGGCGAAGGCGAAGGCGATGGCGATGGCGAAGGCGAAGGCGAAGGCGAAAGGAGTTTAAATTTATTCGGGTTTGATTTGACAAATAACGCTACTGCCACTATGTACAATTTATATTTCTCTCTTTCCGAAGAGTTACCCCAAAAAAGTTTTACCGTACCGTAGGTGCGATTCCACTAGGCCAGAATAAGCCGTGAGAAGTGCATTTGAGAATAGTGTGTGCAAAGCATATGCGGACTTACTATTTTTTTACTTACTATTATGTGTCCTAGGAATTTAGTATTTACTTCATCTCTTATATTATATTATGCTCGTGCTCAATGTTAATATCAATACTAGGAATACGCTGTTTAAAATGTATAAGCTTCGTTATAGTCAAATTAATTTTTAAATTATTAGAGTCAAACCAATTCACAACTTGTTCTTAACTATTATTAATGTCACTTCGATTTGTTTCTATATTTTCACAAGGTATTGTTATGGTGCATCGTCTGCAAACAATGTTACTGGTTGTTCAATACATTTTGGTAAGTCATTTATGTACATAATAAATATGAAAGGGCCTAATACACTCCCCTGCGGTACTCCAAATAAAACTTCACGTTCGGTGAACCTAAATATTTCTTCACTTTTATTATTTATGATGATTTTATTGATTTCCGTTTTTCGTGTTCATTTTTTACGTAACAGTTAGGCTAAAATTTTCGTTATTAAGGTGGGATAGTGGTATAGTAGGCCGGCTACGCATTCGTTATTCGTCTAATATTGCGAATGTTTATGGGCGCTGTCGATTGCTTACTATTAGCTGATAAAAGCACTTACTTATCGACCTATAACATAAATTGAGCTGATACAATCCATTAAGATTGAAACATAAGACATATTCTTCAGAACAAAAACTACATCATGTTTGAAAATTCAAGGAATTGTTGTAACATATAAAATCTAGACAGGCAGTCTCGATGGCCTGAGTACGTTACACAATAAAAACAAATCAAAGAATCAAGACTCGAGACGTTTTGAGATCAGAAACGTATATTTCTTCGGAACAACGTCAGCTAACGTTATATTTGTGAAGATTCTCTTAAAGCGTATCTTTACTGGGATATTGTAGCTTCCCAACAGCGAAACAATTTTTCTAATCGGTCAAGTAGTTTCCGACCCTAATATAAGCAGATAAGCAAACTAATCTTACCCCTTTATTAATTTTAGTTTTTATCAAGAAGGCTACTCAGATCACCCGAGTACGTTACACAATAAAAATAAATCAAAGACTCAACACTTGATACATTTTGAAATCAGAAACGTATATTTCTTCAGAACAACGTCAGCTTACGTTGTAAAATCTAAAGTCAGCTAAGATATCCTGTAAGAAGATTTAGAGAAGCAATAATCGTTTGTCAGACCCTGAACACATTTCTCTCGCGGATTTATGATTTTATTTATTGTAAAGCTGTGATCTTAATACGGAGTACCTATTCAGCGTAATTATTTTAAATGTAGATAAATAGGACAGAGTCATAATTTTTAGATAACGTATTTATTTATACAGCGTGGAAGACTTACAACTGCTTACAACAATATACTACACAATTTAAATTTCGAACGGTAATCAGACATCCAGTAACATACATGTCTTCACATTTAAAACTGGAATGCTAAAGTTTAAAAAGAACCATCTACCGCCTTTTTCCAAACAAATAATGTGATTATTTCTAAGAAGATATTTAATTGTGTCGTCATATTTATGTCATCAAATGTACTTAATACGTATTTGATTTTATCTTTGATTAGCTAAAAAGTAGCTTAAACTTACATCAATGAGATTATTGTTATTTTTAAATTTATTCGTGGAAACAGTTAATTTTTTGACTGAGCCGTTCCTATTATAATTTTTAGATTATTGTTTGTGTCTCAAAAAAGTTGGGAGGCGGGAAAGGATTTCATTTCAATACGCTCTATAATATCAAATCCTACTAAACATACAACTATGGGTTCAAACACTCAATTATGCATATGTACGCCATTTTATGTCATGAATGCAGTCGAAAACATGGATTATTTGGATTATTCATGGAGCTTAAATTATGAACACTGACTTTATAACTCTCATAATGCTGT